CTTTGCGGGGTATTTTTCCAAACTAACTTTGGGAACCATGTGGTTCTTTGCAACTTCCCACCCATACCCATCTCCATTTCCCCATGTGTCTTCCGTTTCCCTCCCTGCCACCAGTAGGGTTCTGTTTTCAGAGTTTTTAAAATCTGTGTTAAGTATATTATTATAGCATATGCTACTACCAGTGACAAAAAAGTCAGCAAATAGTACTCCAGCATTGTATGTAGGGGGATAAGAAGCAAAAGCCCCCAGCCCCATGTAGAGCCTCCGTTGCCACGCAAATGCCTCTTAGTTTTCAGTGGTAAAGACAGCACAATGTGGAATGGACCTGTGTGAAAAGAACCAGATCTGGCCAACAAAAGCACTTACACAGGTTGAAAGCACTGTGTTGTTATGTATCTGAACAACTAATGCAACCTCCATGTAAAACAAAAGTGTATGTTTTCCAGTTCAGATTCAGGTTGCTTGCAACGCTTTGCTTCTTCAGTAGGACAGACGAGCAGATCCTCAAACCTCAGTAGACCTAACACAGACTTGCAATGCAGGCTGTTCCAAAGGCTTGATTCAATCCCATACCTGCATTCTGAAGATGGCCCTTGAATGAAAAAGCATTATTGCTGGTAGGGCATAAATAGGCCCTTTTAGTCCAATGTTAGCTAATGAAATTACAGTGACCCCATATCTCTTTCAATGTATTTTCTCTGGTAGCAATATCCTAACAAAAACAGTGGTGTTCGTTAGAAATTGCACAAATCCTCACTTTTTTGTTTTTATTTTTTTGAAACAGAGCCCAGTCCAGTCACTGACATCCGTTTTAGCACCATCACTACCCAAGCTGTAAATATAATGTGGAACAACAGTGATCGAAATGCTGCAGATTACAGATATAGAATAGAAGTTAATGGAGATTACCCCAATAGGACGGCATACTCAAGCAACACCACTGCAGTAATTAGCGACTTGGAACCTGGTACACTGTATACATTCACAATATATCCACTAGTAGCTGAAATGGAAGGAGATCCAAAAAATGAATCCACCTATACAAGTAAGTAAAATAAGATGCACAGTGATTTCCAGTCACCATATATTTCTGTCATCTCAAATGTACATTAGATACACTAGCCGTATGAGCCATATAAAGGCTTTGCTCAGTCTTCCTTCCCAGACCTCAGTTGGACAGGGATTGGCTTCCATGTGATATTGTAATGCCGTTGTCCATCTTCCGCAATATCCTTCGCTTTGCGGGGTATTTTTCCAAACTAACTTTGGGAACCATGTGGTTCTTTGCAACTTCCCACCCATACCCATCTCCATTTCCCCATGTGTCTTCCGTTTCCCTCCCTGCCACCAGTAGGGTTCTGTTTTCAGAGTTTTTAAAATCTGTGTTAAGTATATTATTATAGCATATGCTACTACCAGTGACAAAAAAGTCAGCAAATAGTACTCCAGCATTGTATGTAGGGGGATAAGAAGCAAAAGCCCCCAGCCCCATGTAGAGCCTCCGTTGCCACGCAAATGCCTCTTAGTTTTCAGTGGTAAAGACAGCACAATGTGGAATGGACCTGTGTGAAAAGAACCAGATCTGGCCAACAAAAGCACTTACACAGGTTGAAAGCACTGTGTTGTTATGTATCTGAACAACTAATGCAACCTCCATGTAAAACAAAAGTGTATGTTTTCCAGTTCAGATTCAGGTTGCTTGCAACGCTTTGCTTCTTCAGTAGGACAGACGAGCAGATCCTCAAACCTCAGTAGACCTAACACAGACTTGCAATGCAGGCTGTTCCAAAGGCTTGATTCAATCCCATACCTGCATTCTGAAGATGGCCCTTGAATGAAAAAGCATTATTGCTGGTAGGGCATAAATAGGCCCTTTTAGTCCAATGTTAGCTAATGAAATTACAGTGACCCCATATCTCTTTCAATGTATTTTCTGGAAGCATTAAGAAAACAATATTATTTTCTTCTAGTGTTTTTTTAATGACTTTTTGTACAAATCCCACCATTTTTTCAAAACAGGACCCACTGCAGTTACTGACATCCGTTTTGGCACCATCACTACCCAAGCTGTAAATTTAATGTGGAACAGCAGTGATCGAAATGCTGCAGATTACAGATATAGAATAGAAGTTAATGGAGATTACCCCAATAGGACGGCATACTCAAGCAACACCACTGCAGTAATTAGCGACTTGGAACCTGGTACACTGTATACATTCACAATATATCCACTAGTAGCTGAAATGGAAGGAGACCCAAAAAACAGATCCACCTATACAAGTAAGTAAATTAAGATGCACAGTGGTTTCCTATTCCTGTGTGTTTCTGTACATTTGATAAACTTGCTGTTTCCAGCCTGTTAAGTAATTAGCTGAGTATCAGGCAAGAGTAATAGGGAAGAGTCTTTATTGAACAAATCTGCTTGTAACACACACACACACACACTTTCTCATTCTCTGTGCTACTTTGGTAAGTCACTTCTTACCAAATGGATGGATCTCCCTAGACGAGAGCACATCCAGCCTGTGCTGAGGACACTGCACTGGCTGCCTATAGCATATTGAGTCCGTTTCAAGGTGCTGGTTCTTACCTTTAAAGCCCTATATGGCCGGGGTCCAACATACCTTCGGGACCGCCTTTCCCCGTATATACCCCAGAGAGCACTACAGTTGGGGTCTCAAAACCTGCTGACCCTCCCTGGCCCGAGGGAGGCTAAGTTAGCCATTACCAGGGCCGGAGCCTTCTCAGTGGCGGCCCCTACCTGGTGGAATGAGCTCCCGGAAGAGATCAGGGCCCTGCGGGATCTTTTACAGTTCTGCAGGGCCTGCAAGACGGAGCTTTTCCGCCAGGCATTTAAGTAGGGGCCGCCGCTGTTATAGGCTCATGTTACTGCAGGCCACTGCAGATTGTTACAACTAAATACGGCCTGTGGAATTAACAACTATATGGACTGACGACAGAAACCATCTGCGGACATCAGGGCAATGGCAATCGATCTCTGCAACTCACCATCGAGATGAATTTTTCAGCCGCCTGCACTTTGTATTTATGTATTAATGTTTTATGATATGTTGTATACTGTGTATTTTATTGTAATTTATGTTTTTAGTGGAAGCCGCCCTGAGCCCGCATAAATAAATAAATAAATAAAGTGCCCTGTGGTGCTAAGTGCCCTCTCTCTGCTTTTCCCACCACCATGGCAGGGAACTCTGAGATAGAGTCCTGTGCCACGTGCTCTAACTACTGAGCTGTAAAATCTCCTGTCCAGTGTTCCCTCTAAGCCGAGTTAGTGTGAGCTAGCTCACAGTTCTTTAGCCTCCGGCTCAAACATTTTTGTCTCAGCTCAGGAAGGGATGGCTCCAGAGCAAACTAATCTATGCGGTAGCCAAATTGCTCGCTCACAACTTCAGTGCCAGTAGCTCGCACAGTAGGATTTTTGCTTACGAGAATCCACAGCTTAGAGGGAGCATTGCTTCTGTCTGGAGTGTTTGTAGGGCGGGAGGCCAGATTTGTGTGCTGGGGAGGAGGCTTGGCCGTCCCGGGGAGGGAGGTGATTGGCCAAGCCCGTAGTTGGCATCCTGAGCTCCTCCAAGCCTAATTGGCGAGGCTGCAGCGGTGGGGGGACGACTTGATTTTTCAGTTCAATTGGTGCCTATGGGCCACACCATGTTTTTTGTTGGCATGACTTTCCACCTCTGGCGGGAGGTGTTCCCAGGCTGAAAGAGCTCAAGGAGCCAACTTCTTCTGGCCACGCCCCCAAAACCACCACAACCATGCTGGCGCAGGGGCCTATGCCTCGGTCGTTCCAAGAAGCAGGCACCGGGGCTTGCGCCATCATAACTGGCCCTTATGCTGGCATATCTCATATCTTATGCTGGCCAACGCAACGGCTCCCTGAGTGGGGGTCTTTTGCCCCCCCCCCCCACCCCTGATTGTACTGTTAATGTGCAGAGTGTTTTTTTCTGTTATATTTTATCCCATGAGAGAAAGAGACTTCTTCATGTTTATTCATTAAGCTTCATGACTGAATGGAGTCTTTGGATCTAGGTCTCCACTGTCTTAGCCCAGCGTTCAAAGCACACTGAATTTCATTTTTCCATTTCTTTGTGAGTCCTCCCCAGCATCCTTGGATTGAGTTGAAAAAGGGCTTGTTGCCTGAAGCCATTTGTGAAGTCCAGGGGACTTCAGTTCATGCCTTTCAGGTGCCATCTAGGACAATCATCACAAATTGTTTAAGCAACAGAATTGTTCAGTTTTTGTACCAGCTTGCCAGTGTTCGTAGCTGGACTGAGGTGATGCATGTTCTTTGGATTTAACCAGGGCTTTTTTTGTAGAAAAAGCCCAGCAGACACTCATTAGCATATTAGGCCACACCCCTGACAGCACCACTCATTAGCATATTAGGCCGCACCCCCATGTTACCAGAAGTGTGGTCATCCAGCCACACCCACCTTTTGCTTGTCATTCTGTTTACCTTGTTTGTTGTCAAAACCCAGGGCCTTTTTTGTAGCAGGAACTCCTTTGAATGTTAGGCCACACACCCCTAATGTAGCCAATCCTAATGAGTTTCTGCTGTTGGGTGTGGCCTATTATGCTAATGAGTTCCTGCTCTGCGTGGCCAACTCAGGAGCCAGCCGGAACTCCGTTCCTGTGCGTTCCTGCCCAAAAATAGCCCTGGATTTAACAATCGAAAGATTAAATTGAGGCCACTCAGTTGTCTTTTCACTTTGAATCAGAGGCCTTTATGGAATTCAGCTGGTAACTCAGATTTCTCTTTCCTTTATAAGGATAACACACAGGTAGCCAATTTCCTATTTAATTTCCTATTTTCCTGTCACTGCCATAGAAGCTTCGTGGTAACTTGCTTTGTGAATTGTACTGAACGAAGGTTTTTAGGAATATGAATTTAATCTTTTGTAGGATTCAATAAGTTTTGTTCTATGGCACTCATCCTCGGACATTCTGAGCCTGTGGACGTTTTGGGGATTTTGAGAGGCTGGTGGGTGTCACCACAACATGGATGCCCTGAGAAGCAATTATATAACTGGAGATAAATCTTAAACACAATTAAATACTCCATTTACAGTATGACACATTCTTTCACCCATCTGTCAACTATAGTTATAGCAGGCAGCAAAAGTATTTGGGTCCTTTTCAAAACTCTTAATCTTGAAGTGATTAGATTTGTGAAGCTTGTCAAGACAAAACTGAATTCTGAAGTTATATTTAGGTGGGCAGCCTTGTTGGTCTGAAGCAGCAGAATAAAGTTTGAGTTCAGGGACATCTTTAAAACTGACAAAGTTTTATTCACGGTATAAGCTTTTGTTGAATGGTTTGCCTTGGAATCGGACCGAAATCATTCTGTCATTTTTGAGATTGTATCCCAGTACTGACTTTTGCACTCTCTTGCTGACTATAAAGGCCACACCATTTTTTCTACGAGATTCCTGGCCACAGTAGTAGATATAATGGTCTTCTGAGTTAAATTCGCCCATTCCTGTCCACTTTAGTTCACTGATTCCTAAGATATCGTTGTTCAGTCTTGCCATCTCATTTTTGACCACATCAAGCTTACCTTGATTCATAGATCTTACATTCCAGGTTCCTATGCAGTATTGAGGGAGAAGCTCAATCCAGTCAGTAAAAACAAGACCTGGAGCTGACTGTGGCTCAGATCATGAGCTACTCATTGCAAAATTCAGACTTAAACTGAAGAAAATTGGGAAAACCACGAGGCCATTCAGGTTTGACCTAGATCGCATCCCTGATGAATATACAGTAGAGGTGAAGAATAGATTCAAGGGTCTGGATTTGATAGATAGAGTGCCTGAAGAACTATGGACAGAGGTTCGTGACATCGTACAGGAGGCAGCAATCACCACCATACCAAAGAAAAAGAAATGCAAGAAAGCAAAGTGGCTTTCTGATGAGGCTTTACAAATAGCAGAGGAAAGAAGGAAAGCGAAAGGCAAAGGCGAAAAGGAAAGATTTACCCAACTGAACGCAGATTTCCAGAGAACAGCAAGGAGAGATAAGGAGGCCTTCCTGAATGAACAATGCAAAGTAATAGAGGAAAACAATAACCTCAGATATGCAGACGATACCACTCTGATGGCAGAAAGTGAAGAGGACCTAAAGAGCCTC